TTAGTATCTGCATGATGTCGAAAGCCCTGAGATTAGGTGTGGTCACCCAGGGAGCAAGCATAGCCAAATAGAGGAGAGTTTGGAGGAAAGGGGGCATTCTGAGACATGCCATCTGCTACTTGGGTTTATTTCCTAGACCAAGGGAGACTCCTGTTAGAGTTGTTTCCAGGGAGGTGATAAGGTCTCTAACTGGAAGTGAGAATGTGAAGACGTGTTTCATTCAAGGTTCCATAAGACATGGCGGTCAGAGGCAGTATGACTTGCTCCCATCCTAACAAGAGGACCGTGAGAAAATGATGGACAGGTGGCACCTAGCTGAGATGGCTGTAGAGTCGGCTGATAGGCTGATCCTGTTGGGATGGTGTCCACCAGACGGACAGCAGTGCCCAGCGGAGCCTGCAGAAGTGAAAGGAGGGTTGAGTGGAGGAGCCAGGAGAGGAGAGAATGGTGGAAGTCTTTGCAAGCTGGCTGAAGAGAGCACAGAGGAAGCCCCCGCCGATGCGGAGCAATGCTGTGGAGGAGGCTGGGAGCACAGAGACGGCTCTGCAGGGAGCGGAGCGCTGGCAGGGGGCTGAAGCCCTGTCATGCATGTACTTTCCGCATCTCGGGAACCTCGGTTGACCTCCTGCCCATCTCCGTTTCTGGCGGTTCGCACTGTCAGTGGCGGGGAGGCAGCAGCCATGGGCGGTGCAGGTGATTTTGGCAGAGCAGTTCTTCAGCATCACGCTCTTTGAAGTCCTAGAAATTTCTCAGAGATCTTCAAGGGCACAGGAGCCGAGCAGGGAGAGTGACCCTGAGTCTCCCCACGTCCACCCCACTTCAACCAGAGCGTGCTCTCTTTATTCTGTTTTACACCACAGCTTCCGTGAAGTTTCATCTGAAAGAAAAAAAAAAGAGACCTTTCTATAGCTTAAATTAAAAAAAAAAAAACGAGCTGCAAAAAGGATAAATTGGTGGCTGAATATATAAAGTATGCAGATGTGATCTGTTGAGAAACACAAGGATGTATTGTTTGACTGATGGTCTAAACCAATTAATCTCTGAAATGGAAGACAGAGGGAGAAAGAGGCACGAAACCGTCCCACCACTGCGGTTGGGAGTGGGGTGATGTTATTGGCCCGATTCACTGACAGACTCTCTTTTTCAACCAAATAATCTTTAAACACACTATATGCATCTCCCCAGCTGACGTCAGCAGTGACCTTTCAATGTATTATTTTTTTAATTCTGTGTAATGAATCCAGTACGAAATTAGAATTCAGGCATTATTTTATTCCTGTCCTGTGTTTCCAGGACTTGGCTCAACAATGGACTGGACATCGTTTCTCTCTTCAAAACGTAGAAGGAACATGTGAAAAGTTAGAAGAGTATATTAGGTGCCTTTATCCTTCCAAAATTATTCACCTTCAAAGAGGAGATGGGTAAAATGCTCACAGATGAAACTGTTGAACCAAGAGAAGAGTGAACCCTTTAGGTCCCTAGATGGTGAGATGGATGGAGTGCTATCCCACACGCTGTGCGCCTGGCTTCCACATCTAATTCTAATTCTGTTCCTCTCTCAAAGCACAGCTCATGTCTCACCTTCTTCTTGACAGTTTTCAAGAGTGGCCTGGCACTTCTCTGCCAGTGTACCCACATAGTCTTGCTCATTTGACTGTGTTCCATTTCTTAGATGTCTTCCCAACCCACCCGAACACTTTGAATACTAGGATCTATCTTATGTTCATTTTATTCTTTTAAGTGTCGTATACTAGATGCTTAAAGACAATATTGTTAATGCTCTCCTGGGGGAGACCACCAAAAATCCACCGGTAGGTAAACAAGATGGGTTTATGACTCATTGCAATGAGAGAGAACGCACTCCCTGGGGGACAGTGAAGGTGTTAGAAATGACTAGTTATGAGACTGGGGCTGGTGTTGGGTGACTCGGGGGAGGGTTTAAGGAAGCGGGGCTTCGCTCTGGATTGGATACTGTCAGGAAGTGGGGGTAATGCTGTGGTGGGCTATCTTCCTACATCTTATCTAGAAGGACGGAAGACCAGAGGGTGGCTAAAGCTGTAATTGGCAGAGCAGCAGCAGTAACTCACATTAGTCAGGGTAGGGGGATTTGGGTCATTTTTGTGGTTTAAAGGATGTTTGTGTTTTTGTGTTTAGATGTTTTTATGGAGTGGTCTTGTTTTTGTCCTGATCCATCACAATCACAGAGTGGCCTTGCCCAGTGTTGATGTTCTCTGACACCATTTCCATCCAACAAGAGAATATCAGGGCCGAGTGCATGTGCCAGGCCGGCTCCCACTGTCAGGGGCTGCTCTGCTCTTTCTCCACATCGAGTTGCATTGATTTTCAGCGGCATTGTACCTTTATCAGAGAGTCCTATTGATATTCTGGGTGGGCGGAAGCCATCCCAAGAGAGAGGGCCTCTGAGCTTTAACCTCTGGACTCTCTTTCTAACTTATACTGAAGACTTTATATAATTTCTTCTCAAGGCTGCCCTTTGATCTATGGAGGAGGTTGCACTAAACTTCAAAGGAGGGTCTCAATTCTTTCCTTTGACTGGAATTTCATAGTGAAGATCAAAACCCACTGTCTTCTTTCTGCTAACGAGGCTCCGGGAGCCAGCTCCTAGTATGCTCACCCGATCCTCTAAAGGGACTAGGTTCCTGTGAGGGTTTGCTGAAGGGAGAATGAATGCTCTTCCACAGTGTAGCCTTCCATGCCTGAGGACTGCTTTCTGTCTTCCATCGGCATGGCCGTTTCATGCCGCCCGAATCTGTGTGGAAGAGTTGAGTGAAAATTAGCACGCAGCTCTATTTGACCCAATCACACGTGGAACATTTGTTTGGTAATTTGTTCATAATAGACACTGACTTTTGAGCAGTGATTCATAATCCTGGCTGTACAGCGGAATAAAAGGGGAGCATTTAAAGAGAGATCCTGGTTTAATTGATTGGTGTGGGGCCCCGGCAGCTCTCTCTCTACCAAAAAAACAAAACAAAACAAAAAAACTTCCAAGGTAGTTCTAACAAGACTTGTTAAAAATCAAATGATCCTTTGCCCTGAGTTGATAGTGTAAATTATCCTTTGAGGAGGCCAAGGAAGATTTGTGACTATAGATATACAGGCTTGGTATAATTTGCCTTAAAATAGCAATAACATGTATGTTTAGGCCAACGAACTTTATGCAACTGGTTCTCGGAAAAAGCAGTATTAAGCTAAAGACCCAAGTGAAGAATGAATCCTCTTAAAACAAAGCAAAACTGGCTAGTTTCTCTGGGGCTTTGGTGAGTTAGGATATTTTGTGTCCGTGGTCATCCTTCCCGCCATATAAACAGGATGAGGGAGCAGCGGCAGTGAAAGACGGGAGCGCCAGGGACCGGCGCTGGGCTGACAAGCAGACACATCAACAGAGTCTTGGAGGAAGCTGTGTTTACAGCAACTGAAAGAGAAGCCCTAACCTTTGAAGTGAGGGGGGAGTTTGGAGCCTATAAATAGTCAAGTTATTTCCAACAGCTGATAAGAACTACTCATCAATAAATGTCTTCCATTACGAATTGGAAATGAATCATTGGTTTGACACCTATTCAGCTATCTACATAGTTAGAGTTTCTGCAAAACCATTATAAACTAAGCCACATAACTTCCTAGTGTATAAATAGCAATATGTTTCAATCAACTGACTTACAATGCTAAACTCTAAAGGAGGTGACTGAGGTGCAAAAATTAGCTCACATCACGCCACCTCCTCTGGGAAGGCCATCTTGGAGGGCCTTAAAGTAACTGATGGTAGCAATTACCCTGGAGGGAAGTATTATATTTGTTGCAAACAAAAGCGTGGACTGAGCTGGAAATAAACATTTGTGGATTGACTGATGTGATGTATACATGGAAAGATATTGGACTCATAGCTTGTAGGTTAATAAATTGGGTTCCTGGGATACATTATTACCCTCAATCACAATCTGAAGGGAGGGATCGAGAATTTTATTATATGCTTTTAATTTTAATTAATTTTAATTTTAAATTTTAAAGATATTAACTTTCGTTTTGAAAAGAAAAAGAGGATGATATAATTGGGTGGTTAAGATTGAGGATGCTGGAGACAGACTTCTCAGGGTGAAATATGAGCTCGGTCATGTACCAGCTCTGTGTTGATCCTGGGTAAGGTCTTTAGCGTGTCTGCATCTCATCCTCATCTGCAAAATGGGACAATAATGACACCCATAGAATGTTGTGAGGATTAAATTGCTTAATATAATGAAACACCTGGAACCATGCCTGGCACAGAGCAAGCTCTTTGTTATAAATACCAGGTGCTTAGCTTCCTGGTCTTCCAGAGAGAGCTGAATCGTGTGAAATAGATTTTGATGGTGCGAGGAAGCCTGCTGAAACAATCTCTGTTTTTTGAAGATGTTTTTCTGAACTGACACCTGGTTCGGTGTTAGCAGACTGTTCTGAGGGTACCTGTTCTGAGGAAGGAGGCTGAGAAACCCCTGAGACCGGGGCTGTTTGTCTCTGTCAGTTGACCTTGTTCTTCCTGTGACTTCCGAGCAGAACAATGCTTTCTTTGAATAGAAATCTCTCTGTTTTCATCTTAACATGAAAAAAACTTCCCAAATACAATTAAAACAACTTCAAAATATTTTTCCGTTGTTGAGGAAGATTCTCCCTGAGCTAACATCTGTGCCAATCTTCCTCTATTTTGTAAATGGGATGCTGCCACAGCGTGGCTTGATGAGTGGTGTGTAGGTCCTCGCCTGGGATCTGAACCCACCAACCCTGGGCTGCCAGAGCGGAGAGTGTGAACTTAACCACTACACCACTGGGCTGGCCCCAAATATCTTTCTTCTAACGTGAATAGTATTTAAGTATCTGTGGTAGAAAGTGCTTTCACAAGCACAGAGGACGCTGAAGAACAGAGAGGATGTCTGTAGTCCTCTGTCACACCCTTCCTTCATCTTCAGAGGCTTTATAAGGTTGACTTCTTGAATTCTCTACTCCAGGTGCCGAGGCGAGGCTCCCTCAGGACCTTTCTGAAGAGCAGGGCCCACCAGGACTTCTTCAGGGACCTTGTGAGTGCCCACGGCCTGGTTGGATGCTCCCTGGTTTGCAGTTACTAAGGACTTTCTTTAAATGTAACAGAGGAAATCAGCGTCACGATACCATCCCTGGGCCCTGGGAGACTGTGGGGGACACTTCCTCACTGGGGTGGCTCTGGCCTTTCTTAATAAAGGAAATTAAACTGATTTATGACAATACAAGAGCTCAGATGCTGGGGAGTAAATGGAAAAGATGTTAAAGATATTTGTGCATTCCCATCTGAGGAGGCAGGATAATTAGTTCCACTTTGATGACTTTTAAGTGACGTGGCACCAGAGTTGAAACTGGAGGTCCCATTAGTTAGCAACCACTCTCTAAATAATACTAATAGTAAGAACAAAAACACATATTTACAGTACATTTATCACATCCTGGCATGGTTCTATGCTTAACCTATTAGGTGTTACTTGTTTAATCCTCACAAAACCCCCATAAATGTCACTATCGACTCTGGCTCCCAGAGCGTGGGTGCGAGTGTCTCTGCGTTAGAACCCCGTGGTGACGTGCGTGGGGCTGGGGTTTTCTCAGAGGCATCAGATGACTGAGAGATCACAAAATCTGGATCAGAGCCAGGCCATCTGACCCCGGGTCTCATGATCTGGCATTTCTCCAACTAACGAGTTTCAAAATGAGAAAAGGGGAATAATTCCTGAATATGGAAGAATTTTCATGTAAGGCTAACCGTGTTCTATTTATTTAGTGTGCCTCACTAAATTACTATTTCCCTTCAGTATGATAAATGCACACAGTATACTTCAAAGGCTTTCCAACAGAAGACAAAAAGTTCAGCTGTGTGCTAATCACTGAAATTGTGGAGGCCTTTTCTCTCACGTCAACTGTATCCTGTGAAGAAGAGATTTGCATCATCTCTAACACCGCCCTGCAGTCCAGAAGGAATTTCATTTTTCAGTTGTGGTCCTCGCTCCTCCACTTTCTCCCCCAACCCTGAAAAAATAGCCTAAGTTTCTATCAGGGCAAGCAAAGGGGGCCATTAGTTTGTGTCCGGAAACAGTGAAGGAATTTCTGAGCGCTTGATAAGCTCGGCACATGTGGAAACAATCTAATTTTCCATTGGATGGCCCAAAAACGTATTCAAATTATGTAGTTTTGAAATGCTAAACTTTAGAACTTGTTTCTTAATAGGAAGTGTTTTGGGATAGTTTCCTTTCAGTGAATTTGAATAACAAATCGTTTGCAATAATCATAAGCAATCTTAATTCTCGGTTTATTCCCGTTCCCTGAAGGACAGTGCAAGTCTGGCGATATGTGTTACTGCTCCCTGCCCACCAGGGAGGACACGCCTGGAGGGAATAGGAGGAAATCAGAACAAGGACAGCTCCCTCACTCCTTTAGGCTCCTATTTTGACAGTTGGCCACGAATCTGAAATCATCCTTCGCTAGCCGCAATCTGATTTCTATGCAAGACTTTTCTTAAAGAATATGACAGTGTTTGAGTTCATGTGGCCTTTTAAATGAGAACTTTGAAGCAGTAAACTAAAGGTAAAGAAATGGTGAACGTAGAATTGCGTATCTGTAAGAACTCCTGAGAACCAACACTTCAAAATCTGGTTGAGCTCGTTAAAATATGCAAATTTCTTAAAGTCAGTGAAATGCAAAGTCATATTTCAGCGATGCGCCAAAGAAGATCCCCATTCCTGGCCTGGGGTAAACTTTTCCCCTGTGTCTGGGGTAATGAGACGGAGGTGCGGAAGAGATGTAAAGGTTGTCGCCTGGAGTTACTATTAGGACAATAATCTGCATTTCAGTACTCCCACATGCGTAGCTTCTTTTGATCTTTGTAGCAGTTTTACAAAGTTAACCATTGTTGTCTCCATTTTACACATTAGGAAGCTTAGGTATATAGAGAATAACAGAAATAGTACATGGAAGACAGCATGATCTAATGGAAAGAGAACGGATTCAAAACGCCAGCTCCCTGTCTTAGTGCCATGATACGCTGTGGCGGTCGTGTCTAGCTTCAAGTCTTGTTTCATCGCCTGTAAAATGGGATAATTCCATGGACCTCAAAAGAGCCAGGGGACCCAAAGGCAGTAAGGTATGTGGAATGCCTCATCCTGTCTCAGCTTAGCTTTTCCTGGAAGATATGGATCTTGACTCTAGGAGACTCCAGACCCAGTGCCTCATGGGGACTATGCTCGGTTGAGATCTCTTTGCTGCCATTCATGACATCGGGACACACTTTCCTGGGCCCTGTTGCTGAGGCCACAGGGAGCCCCTGACGAGAGAGGAGCAGTAACCTCTGCCCAGATAAAATCGGTGCCTTCCTGATGCTTTCCTGCATCCGGATTTAGCCATCGTTCTCCCCAAGTGGTAAAGATCACAAATATATGTGTATAGTAAGAATTACATGGTCCTGCTGCTTATATTTTATGTGATTTCCTTTTAGGTACTTTGTGGGTTCGTGTGTTCACCAGCTGTAAGAAACTGCTCATCCACATGCAGGATTCTTATTCCCCACAACATGTGTTAACTGATCCTACTGTGTGCATGGGGAGGGCTGTTTGTGATATGCAGGGTATTTATGGTTTATGGCATCGCCTGTCTCTAACGTCTGCAAATGAAGAAGATGATGGCACTGGTCAAGTTCACTCCAAAAATGGAGAAGTGGAGGAGCAGAGAGGAAAATTATTTGTGCAGCATTACACAGAAGGTCCATGACGAGGCCAGAAGGGGAACCCACGTTACTGACCTCTCGTCCGGTTCCCTGTCCCCGAGAGAGCACGGACGATGCTGCAGCTCCTGGGCGTGCGGTCGCATCCTCATTCTTCTGCACACTCACAAGTGCATTTTCCAGGGACACCACTGCAGGAGCCTCCCCCACCGCCTTGCAACTTATATTTAGCTCTGAAGACAAGGGTTAGCTTGACCTAGACGGCAGTCAAAGGGGAGGCCAGGCTGCTGTGGCCTGGAAAGAGGGAGGAAGAGCTAAAAGCAGTGGCTCTGTAGAAACTGCAGGAAAATCTCTGATCTTGAGGTCCCCTGAGAGAAGAAGTTCTAACCCCAATGATGACAGAGTTGAATTAAAATATAAATGCTTCCAAATAACTGTTGCCAGGAAGCGGATGACATGCTAAATTACTCTGCAGACTGACTACTTAATTCAGTGATTTCCTGAGTCAGGAGTTGCCAGAAGAGCCATTTTGTCCTTTTTGGCAGAAAAGCCGCGGGACTGCTGTCTCCAGTCCTCTTTCCTGTGCTTCCTGCGTAGGAAGGCCTGTTTCCTGCAGAGAGGTACCTGATTAGACGGCGCTATTTTAGTAGGCTGGGGACGAGGGAGCGAGTGAGGTCTTTGGTTTGCTGTTGAGCTGTGGACAGCGTGGAGGCCGCATGCAGCACAGAAATACACATCCTTTCAGAAAACGTGGAACAGTGAATCAGAAGCAAATTAGACCCAGAAAATGTCCAAACCGTCATGTTGCAACATTATCGTCTGTTTGGTTTTAAATGTTTTGAGATGCCTGGTTTATTTTTTGTGTAAAGAACTCTGTTGCGGTCTTAATGTAGTTCTTCGGAACTGAATTTTAAGCAACGGGATTAATGTTTACCCAGTGGTTATGATGCCGCTGAGGGCTCTGATGCTGGTGAGGGATGACTTCCTGGCAGCAGATGAGAGCGTTAGGGCTTGACCTGAGCCGGAGTGGGGATTTTACAGAACCTGACTGATGAGCTGTTTGTATCCTGGCTCAGCACTGCTCCTATTCCTTTGACAGTTCCTCCACCTTGTCTCTAAAAGAAATAAAGTGGCTGAATAAGATGCATGTAATTCAGCAAAGCTAAATAAGCACAAAGGTCAGAACATTCAGGCAAAATGAAGAAAAGGGTAGGAAGCAAACTGGAAGACGAAAGAATTTGTTCCCGAAACAGAGTGGATGAAGATTTGTTTCTTCTAATACTCGGTGGACGTTGATTCTGCATGACGTTTTCTTACTGTGTGTGTGCCTTGACCACTCAGTAGATGTAAGCTTCTCATGGGCAAGACCTCCGACCTGGGCTTCTTAGAGCTCCGTGTCTCCTTCAGAGCCTTACCTGCTGTCTGGGCCCCTTACATGTGGGCTGGTGTTGATGGTGATGCTTGCATCTCTTCTCATCCATAGGCTCTACTTTGGACCACCCAACGTTGCAACCTCATTAAACACATTAGCAATTATTTCAGGAGTTGTTATTTTGGATCAGAGAGCATCACAAGTTAGTTGCCTTTAAACAAATTTGGGGTCACTTTGTTCAATAGTTTCTGATTTCTGTTTTTAGGTTTTCGCTCCATCAGGGTGCTGGCCAGAGAGGTACCTTCACCAAGAGCGTTCTTGTGAAAGAGAAATGTCCATTGACCGCGGTGGCCCAGGAGGGCTTCTGTCCTGGCGGAGGCAGGGACCAGTGCCTCTGGGAGCTGACTCACTCATTTTGTAGTTTTGTGTTTTGCCACAAGAAGGATTTGGCGCTTGAAGCTCTATAGCTTATTCTCATATTTTGTAGATCTTTAATTCTAAAGAAAAGAACATGGAATAAATACTGGATAGATGGTTTTAAAGTTTCCACTCTTGGCTTCTTGGGCGTTGTTTCCCAGTATGAGGAGTACACAGGCCTGAAGGATCTCGGATGTACCATCAGCCAGTTTGGAGACTTTTCATCGCCTCTGCAAATGACGGTCAAGAAACAAAAGGGAAAATCTGAAACTTTCTCTCTGGCTTTTTTCTAATAGCACTGGTGAAACGTTTAAGGGGAGAGAAGTCAAAGATATTAACTAAAATGAGATTTTGGTAATATTTTTATTAAGAAGTTATTCTACCCCGTTGATGTAGGAAATGAATAACTACTTCTAGTATACATCAATGATCGATAATTAATCTAGTGTGTATCCAAACAAAGGAGAAAAAAATCTCTAAACAAAATCATTAGCTCAGCTTGTCAATATGGGATAAATATAAATTTTATCCAGTGTTAATTTGCATTTTGAGTTTCATTCTTATTTGCATCTTATATTCACCAGAGGACCAATTTGAAACAGAGGACACATCTCATCTGGAAGAATAAATGGGGAAAACAGAATAAAACCCTTTGAAAACAGAAAATAGTTGTGAGAGGTGGGGGGGGGGATCTTTCTACGTATTAAAAAATAGCATATTCTAAAGCTATAATATTGAAATCAGTGTGGTGCTGACAGAAATATAGACTGCCCAGTAAATCAAAGTAGTCTAGAAATACATCATCTAGTACATATGAAGATGACGTCACAAATCAGTTTGAAAAGGTAGTATGCAATAAATGATGTCAAGACAATTGGTTAATTATTTGAATAAAAATTCCACTAGATTCTCATTGCATCCCACACACCGAAATGGATCAAATGGATCAAGTAGTTGTATACACTAAAATGAAAGCAGTAAGCAACTAAAATAAATTATAGGTTCTTATTTATTTGCTCTTGTTATGTAAATAAGCTTTCTTAGGGAAAAAAGAAACCTCAAAGGGAAGATTGCTATATTTGATGACGTAAATAAAGAACCTTTAGAATCTTAGTATGTCTATAAAAAATATAAATTGATTTTAATAGCAAAAAGTTGTTGAATAATATTGGTAGCATATAGAACAGACTAAGAGTTACCATTATATAAAAGGCTCTTATAAATCAAGAAAAATATGAAAATACCAAAACATTGAGTAAAGATATTGAGCAGTTGACGAAAGAAAATGTGCAAATGGCTAATAAATGTCACAAATTGAGTCTCTAAAAATCAAAGAAATGAAAGCAATGTGATATCATTTTTCTCCCATCAAATTATTGGAAATTTCAAAATTGTAATGCTCTGTGTCATGATGCACTCTGTTCACCACTGATAGGGAGTAAATAGATATTGCTTTCTGGAGGACAATTTGGAATATAGTTTTTAAAAGCCTTAAAAATTTACCCTTTGACCCAGGAATTCTACTTGTAAGAATTTACCCAAAGGAAATAATAAGAGGTGTGCACAACGATTTATGTGCAAGTATATTCGTGTACCATCGTGTCTTATGATATAATATTGGGGAAACCCACAAAGTTCAAGAAGAGAGAAATAATTAAATAAAATTTGATAGATCTGTACCATGGCCGATTATGCAATCTTTAGAAGTTGTGTTTCTAAGAATAATGACAAAATGAAATGCTAATAAGATATTCTTAAATTTAAAAACAAGCAAGATACAGAACAATGTGATCTGAGTATTGGGGGATGTGGAGGGCACAGGGAAACAGAAAAAGAATATCTGTGTGTTTAAATTAAGAAAAACAAAAATAACAACAGGAGGGAAAGAAACCAGAAGTTAACCATAGTTTTTATATTTTCCCCCCATGTTGGGGGATAATGGATTTTTAAATATTTTTTTCCTACCCTTCTCTGAATATTTTATATTGTCATTTTTTTTTTTTTTTTAGGAAGATTAGCCCTGGCCTAACATCTGCCGCCAATCCTCCTCTTTTTTGTATATCGTTATTTTTATAGGCAGAAATAAGTCTCACAATAAATGCTTGTCTTTTTTTCTTTTAAGAGCATACGGAAACAAATTTTGGGGTGCTGTAGGCGGTGAGCTTTCTCAGAGCTGTGTCTTGCTATCCTGTGACAAACAGGGCTTATCTGTTCTTTCCAGTCAGGACACCAAGAGAATGACCGCAAAGTTGGCTGAGTCCTTTCTCTACAAGTGCCTCTCAACTGTACATCGAACTTGGCAATTTATAAGGTCAATAAAAGGGTTGGTTAAAAGATGAACCACATGAGAAATGAAGCATAGCCAGTGACTGTAGGGTGGCTCACCCGTGCTGAGTCTTTCTCTGTGGACCCAGTCCCCTGTCACTCTGTCTGGCGAGTCTCCCCTCACAGTGTGGGGTGATGAGGTTAACTAGGTGGACTCTGGCACTCACACCTTCTGAGCGTGCCTACCATGGGTAGGTCCATTTCCATGATAGTCAAGGACAGAAGTCTCTTGACAGAGAGCTTATCCGACAGAAAGAGTTGCCTGGCACAGCCAGCTTGGCTGGTGTCCTGAGTGTGCATTAATTATTGATCAGAGAGGTCTTTCATTCCAGCTCCATTATGTCCACTATTCCCGTGGAGTTGAAGGTGAGAAGATGGCAAGTAAACCATTGAAAGTTCTCTTTTAGAAGACTCTGGACACTGCTTTGTTGCATGGCTAACAGTGTGGAACAAAAAAAGGAGAGAGGCTCTTTTTGCCTAGAATGGGATTAAACATAACCCTTGGTTCACATACACATCATTGGTCTATGCAAGGCACTCATTTTGTTTTTTCTCTTTGGCTATTTTTTATAATGCAGTAATCACCCATGAACCTACTACCCCATCGCTTTCATCTAGCCATTGGTCCTCCACAATTCCGCTTTTCACTTCTCCTCTCCTGAAGTAACCGCATCCTGGACCCTGTATTTGTTATTCTCTACTTATCCTCTTTTATATTATTTCTGCTAATCTCTATGTTATCCTTAACAGTACAGGTTTTAATCTTTTTTTTTTTTTGCTTTCTATAAAAGGGTATCATCCTTAGGTAATCTTTCAGATTCATCCGTATTGTTGCGTGTTGCTGCAGCTCATTTTCCTTTGTGTAATATTCCCTTGTGTGACCGACTATATCACAGGTCGTTCCTCTGCTCTCTCACTGGTGGGCATTTGGGCTTTTCCCAGATTTTCATTACTGTGAACATATCAGGAGATAGACATGTTCAGAGTTTCTCTTGAGTATCTGCCTAGCAGTGGAATTGCTGGCTCACAGAGTGTGAGAGTGTTGAGTTTTAGGAGCTAATGCCAAAATGTTCTCCAAATTCTTCTACCAACTTGTACCCCCACCAGCAATATTTGAGAAATGCCTGGTGGATATATATCTTCTTCAATATGAAGTATTATCAGACTCTTTATTTGTTGCCAATCGATGGGTATAATATGATACTTCCTTGTGTCATAGATTTATAGTGCCCTGATCACTGAGGCTGAACATCCATTTATGTGTTTGTTGGCCATTTGTGACTCCTCTTCCATGAAATGATTGATCATGCCTTTTGCCTATTTTTCTATTGGTTTGTTTGTGCTTTTCTTATTGACTTATTAACCTTCTTTATATATTCTTGATACTAATCCTTTGTTGGTTGTGTATGTTTCAAATATTTTCTTGAGGTTTTAATTTGTCTTTTCATTCTATTTGTGCTGTCTCTTGATAAATTTCTTTGTTTACTTTTTTTTTTTTGAGGAAGTTTATCTCTGAGCTAACATCAGCCACCAATCTTCCTCTTTTTGCTGAGGAAGATTGACCCTGGGCTAACATCTGTGCCCATCTTCCTCTGTTTTATATGTGAGATGCCTGCTACAGCATGGGTTAATAGGCAGTCTGTAGGTCTGCATCCAGGATGCGAACTGGTGAACCCTAGGCCGCCAAAGTGGAGTGTGTGAACTTAACCACTACACCACCAGGCTGGCCCTGATAAATTTCTTAATTTCTATTCCTTAATTTTAATGAGGTCAAATTTATTCCTTTTTTTTGCTTTTAGAAATTAGCATGTTGTGTGTTTTATGTAAGATAACCTTTCCTACTTGAAAGTCGAAAAACTATTGACTTATATTTCACACTGAGAGTTGTAAAGTTTTGTTTTTGACATTTAGAGAGGTGTTTTCTTCCACTTCAAAGCAAATTGAGGCTAGCTGTGGTCCCTTAAGATCCAGTGGAAGTGAGAACGGTGTCTGTTGAATCAGACAGTAAGAGCAGGAAGAGCAGCAGAGCCTGACAAACCCAAGGGACTCAGGAGAGGTGGTGATGTGCCCTGTGATAGTCAGGTCCCAGGGCCCTGAGTAACTCACCAGTTTTCCAACCAGACTTGATTATGTACCCCTGGGGCTCCCAAAATAGCCAAGTGACAAAGGGCTCAAGTCTTTTCATCAGAAAGGAGAAAGTACAAGTTATTGGATCCTGTTATTACCCAAGACCGTCGAGGAAAACTGAACTACACCAATGTCAGAGATGCCTGTCTGTTTCTCCAAGTTCAAGCATTCAAGGCCAGTTTTGTGATACAGGGCATTTCAAAAGGTACGTCTCTCCTACACATTTCCCTCTGTTGCGAATATTCTCCACTATGCATTGTTGTAATAAGAAGAGTTTTTATAGACATCTGCAGAAAAATGAGAATGAGAATCAGAATGAGAATTTTCTGGCTATTTCTCGGAAGTCTCTCTTTCCTTACTCACTTTTCCCTCTAAGGCATGTCCCTTTTC